GTCTGCACCTGCAGTGCTGCTTGATTGAAACTCTGCATGTATTCTTCTTATTAAAAGCAAATAAATAATATCTTCTGTTATTTACCAAACACCAGGATAACTTGAAAACCACAAGTAGCAATCCCCCTTCTGTGCTAAGATTCTGTCGTTTCTGCCTCATGCACAGAGGATGCTCAGGCTTCATTGCTCAGCAGAAATGTGATCTGTACCTCCATGCTCTACCTCAGGTTTAACTTGCTATTTGGAACATTTACTGGAAATGAATATCTGGTGTTTTAATTATTGTCACATAAACAGAGTGATTGATTAAAGTAATTTACATAGAAGCATTTGTGGTGTTTCTGAGCAAGGGAAAATACATAGAAACACGTGACACTTAATTACGTTGCTTAACAATAAGTGTCAAGTTAAACCTTTTTAAAAAAAGATGAATGCTATACTTAAGGAAAGTTCAATTACGTTTCTATAGATCGAAATGTTTTACACACTGTATATATCAGAGGGGCAAAGATATTAATACTTCTGTACATGCAAAGGTGCTGACAGAATTCAGATGCTACAAGGCAGGGTTTTGTAACCACTGTCTGCTTATTGTTTGCAAAGGGAACTTGTTTACTGTAATGTATTGTTAATCTGATCTCATTTACTTGTAGGCAGCTGCATTTGCATACAGACACACTTCTCAGAACTGATTGAGAACATGAGGACTAGTAGTCCTGATTTGGTAAACTGTTGCATACAAACAGGATTTGCATTCAAATTAGTGTTTTATATCACAACCTGATTATACATCCAATTTTAATAATGTTGAATGAATGGCAATACTAGATTTCAGAAAGACACTCCTCTGATTATATGTTCCAATTCTAAATTTAATTAAAAATCTCTCCTCCCCTTTTTTTTCTCCTTTGCTGAAATTTAGTAACAGACCTGGAATTTCTTTTCCCTTTAAGTAACATGTACATTTCTATAACAAATTGTTATACTTTCCAAATTACATTCAATAATTTGTTTAATAAGAGACTCCCATGCTGTTTGTGTATTCCTGTGGGAGGGTAATGGAGGAGAAACTGAACTCCGCAGTGCTCATCGTCTACTTTGTGCAGAGTAGAAGAAAATAAGAGGAAGTCGACGGAGAGAAATGGGATGAGATGCAGAGTTCCCCAACCTAAGTCTGAACAAGTCTATATGTCTAGAGGACAATGTTCACTACTAGGCAAAAACACTACCTCAGTTCTTTTCAGCATTTATACCTATCTCATCGTGGTGCAGCTCCCCATTCTCACCCTGAATTGCACATGAAAAAAAAGAGAATAAAATTTTGAGGATAACTATTTGACTACATAGAAAATCCAAAATAAAAACCAAGGTTGGTTTTGATGAGGAGCAGTTTTCGAATCTAGTTTGCCATCTGACTTCCACCAGTTCAGTGCCACAGCAGTGCCATAACTTAGGGAGGTGTATGAAGGGTGTTTCTCACATATATTTGACACTTGGGGACCTAGACATCTTCACTGTTGCCTTTTCTGAACTGGTGTGGCAAAAGCCTGTCCTCTGTCCTACTCTGCACAGCAGCAACACATCCTCTGGAGTGCTGCTGGGGTGGTGTAGCTTCTCCATTTTTCTCTGCTCAGATTTATAAGTATTATAATGGAGCACAATTCATTTGATACAGACAGCTCACTTCTTTCTTTCAATTCATGAATTTGAAGAAATTATATGAAATAAGATGGTTTCAGTGTCATAAATTAAGTAAAGCATTGTAATCTAATTGCCCTATGTGTTGACAGAGTATTTTTCTTGTTGCCTAGCAATGAGATTTACCATGAGATTCACCATGTGCTTAAGATTCCATTAGTAACTTATGTTTTCAGAGGTTTATAACTTTAATAAAAATCGGTACTCCTAGGACAATCCAGAAAGTGCATGTTGGAAGTTCTTTTTGTTGTTACCAGGTCACTTACTAAAGAAGCTTGAGGCAGAAAGCTCTAGTGTCCTCTGATTTCTGTACCCCTTCTCCTGTCCTTCTATAGATGGTAAATTTTGAAAGTAACTTCTCAAGCAACAGTTGTTTTGTGTGTTTTTGAAGCAGTAAGCTATTTATAAGAGTGTTCTTCTACTTTAAAGGTTCTACATGAAGATGTTTTTACCAAGGCAGCTCCTTCCACTTAAAAGAGCAGCAGCTGCTTTGTGCTCCCCCACGAAACTGGATGCCTGGGAAAGGGTTTGAGCATTGTCCTTTGAGGTCGTCTTCTCCATTAGCATTCCACATAGTAGTAGAATAGGTCTAAATGTTTTCTTTGGGGAACTGTAATGCTTGCTGAGTAGGAAGATCACATGGAGCTTGATGAAGGAGACTAGTGCCTGAAGAGGTTGGAAAAGCAGAACTTCTGGGAAGAGTGAAAAGAAAAGCTATAGGATAGGCCCAGAAAGTCACCTTGTTCTGCAAGAGCTTAAAGTTAGGGCCAGCAAGTATATGCAAAACCAGACCGCTTTTAGCTATGGGAAAAGAACTGTGTGCATTTTTTATTCCGGTTACCTCTGATAAGAGTGGGGTTTGGACTGTCTTGCACTATTCCATGAGGTGGTGCTGTACCTAAAAGGACTTGAAGTTGAACTTGTGGAGAAAAAGGCTGAGAGCTACTCAATATCCAAGTTTTTTTCAAGAACCAAGTGTTTTTCACAAAGTGCTTGGAAGCTGTGTCAGAATGATAGTGGTGCTATGCTACTCACAGATCTGTTTCAGGACTGCATCTTGCTGCAAGGCAGAAAGCAAAAAGCCAGTTTATTCATAGTTTCTGGAGAAGTACTGAAAGAAGGAAAATGTGATTACTGGACTTGTAAATTTTGGACAATTAGAACCTTCGTTTATTTATCGTTTCAAAATGGTTGTGATTATAATGAAGGTATGGTTTTGCATAGTGAGATTTATGCACTTAACTATTTGTGGAGGATATGTGTGTTTAGTTGCGAATCTTTAAGGAACTTGTTACCTTTATGATGGCCAGTTTTTAATTAAGAAGCATAGATATTTAAAGCTCATACCTTCAAGTAAGCAAAGTAATTTTCACTGGAAAATGAGGTATTAATCAGCAGTGGCTTTTTTCTTGTTCTATAGCTAAGCAAGATTAGTTAAGAAAAACTCAGGGTGCAGGGTGGTGTTTGTTTGGGGTTTTTTGGGGTTTTTTTGTTGTTTTTTTTTTGATAATCTGGCTTCTCTACCCCATGCTTATGTTTCAGTACATAGTTTTTGCACATATATGTAATTTTTCTTCGGGGTTATATAGTCTCAACATGATTATGAATGCTAATTTGTTTTAGAAATCTGCTAGGTATATGTCATTTTTGTTGAAAAAATATGGATATTATAATGTAGATATTATAGTTAATATAGGTCAATATTAAATGTGAAAAAGTGCAGAGTTTGCTGTGGTCAACATAAGTAGTATTTCCTCCTTAGCTAGACTGTTTTAGGCACCATTTAGTGCTCCTGCAGCCTTTGTATAGAAAAGGAAGAAAGGGAGGAGTGCGGGAGAGTCCCTAATTTAGATGTCTAAAGTTAGAATTTGCAACTAACCTTCCCTATCCCCCTTCTCCCATAAGTGCTCTGAAATATTCTGTCTTCATCAGTCTACCTTGACAATTTCCATTTCTCACTGGAGTACTGCATTGGGTTAGTGGTCTGGATGTCACATTGCTTGTGCTTCCCCAGATCGTCATCACCTGTACAAGAACTGAATGAAAATGCATGAGTGTCCCCCGACAGGGTCTAACACTCCAGGACAATAACTGGAAGACTGGCAAAATGTCAGTAGTTTTTACTGTTAAAATGACACTGAGGGAATGTGTAAAATTAAAGAGTAAGTAAATTCTACTCTTGTTTGGCATTTTCCTGTATTAAAGCAGCTCATAGACTGTTGTATCTTCTATCTGTTGTATGGTTTGGAAACATACTATATAATTGTATTATGTCTGTGTGGAGATAAAAATGAGGGGGGCGTATTTGTGAGTCTTCTTTTTTAATGTGGTTATGATTTCTAAAGCTTTGGTACTGAAGAGACAAAAGACCTTATATCATTACTGCTGGCTAGTTAAGAGTGCACTGCTACTAACCTGCACCACATCAGAGTTGAACCAAGGATCTCCCAAAGCTTAGTTAAACCGTTGGGAAGTGTTTAGATGAAGTGTAGCTTGGCTTTACAGTATATAGAGTAAGCATGGGACCATTTCTGGTCTCATGAAGAGAACTTTTATTGCAGTACACAGTACTCTAGAGAAAGTTATTTGCCCCCCCCCGTAAATCAGTCCTGGTAAAGAATGTAAACAGTCACGGCATTCTCATATTTGAGCCTAGTATCTTTAATGGTCACTCTTGTCTGATGCCAAGCAACCAGGAAACTTTTTTTATTGTGCGATGTCTTATATACATTGCAAGTTTGTATAACTGTACCTGGTGATTTTCATTTAAGTAATCTGTTGAAGCTTTTTTTTTTCTCCCAACAGCTCTTTTTCCTAGAAAAAACTCAGTACTAATAACTCTAACTTTATAACAACAAACCTGAAAAGAATTACTAGAGATGTATATGTAGTTTCAAAGAAGCGGTAAGAAGCAAGCAAAATTGGTTTTAGTTAGCAACAATTCCTAAGCTGTGTTTGTTACACAAACCCCAGAATTTTAGTCTGAATTTTATCTAACATTTGCTTCTAACCTGTGATTAAGCAGCTGCAAAGTAAAAGTCTTAAGTTGTTGCTACCTTTTTTTGGGGAAAAAAATCAATAGGGATTATACTCAAAGTTATTAATAAAGTTGTTCTCATAGTTTTAATTGATTGTCAAAGTTTAAATCTCTTAGAAAAAGAATGTCTTGATCCTGTACTGTAAGTGTGACTAAAACAGTATCTCAGTATTGTGCTTTATAGGAAACAAGAGCTGCAATAAACCACAAAATGTCTTAAATAAAAATGCTTCCAACCTCCAACATAGCTTTTTTTGTCTTCTAGGTTGACTGGGGTCAACTGGACTATTTAGTAATTGACATGCCACCTGGGACTGGAGATGTACAGCTGTCAGTCTCACAGAATATTCCAATTGCAGGTACGTGTATTGCTTGGCTGTTTCAGAGATTTGAAGTTTAAGTCTGGTAGCTTTAGAAAAAATTTATTTTTAAAATGCCAGTCAAAAATTCTTTTAATTGTCTTTCTAACATGCTAAGAAGCTGCTCTGTCAGTAGTGTGGTGATGGAAAACACTGTCAGTGATTTTTAACATGTTAGCACTGTGATTGTGGTACTTTCTTCTAAGTTTCGAAAAGATTGAGAAGTCAAGTATATCAGTACTCTGGAAGGAAAGGCAGTCATGCCAAAAACTGGTAAGGTTAGGAGTAGAAAATATTTTATTTTTCTGTATCTACTTTTTAGTAAAGCTAATACAATAAAATAGTTTCTCTTCATGATTGCTTTTTAATTAGAAGCTGACAATGTTGTTGATGCACAACATTTATTCAGATAAACTATGCAGCGCTGTAATACACTAGTGCATTCTTTTCTCTCTTGTGTTACGAATTTGACTTGTTGTAGGGGATTTAAACGTCAACAAATCAATCTTGAGATATGCAGGCTGCCCTCTGATCTCACGGTTTTAGCAGGAGTTGGAAATACTGATTCTAAAAGGATGCTGAGCATCTCACGAGATCTGTTAGACTGTAATGGTTTTTACCTGTCTGACATAGTTCAACAGAAGCAGTTGTCAATAGCCAATGTAATCCATGTTAGGAACTCAGCGGTAAAAGAGACAAAGCAATCTCTGGCTTCAGGAGTAGTTTAATGCTGGAGCCCTTCACCAGGAGGGTAGTGCAGTGCTGGAACGTGTTGCCCAAAGAATCCATGGGATCTTTGTCTTTGGCAGTTGTCCAGATTGTGCTAGTCAGTTGGACCAGATGACCTCCAGAGACCTTTTGCGTTCAGAAATTCTGTGATTTGGGGTTATTAAGGAATCAGTGGGGCTGCTTGCTCCACTTCTTGCTGATATCAAATTAATATGTTGATAAAACCCACAATGGTAGCATCTTTTATTACTGTCATTCTTTTCTGAGTGCAGACTGGCTCACTCACCTGCACAGACAGGCCCTGGTTCCCTCCAATGCTCCTTTCTCTCTGCGCTTTCATGGCAGTAAACCACTGAAGTGAAGCCACTAAATGTTAAATTTGTAGAACTATTTCACTTGCTGGTAGAACTCTTACCAGGCTGCCTGATAAGTTTAATGAATTAAGAATTGTATATCTCTGAAAGTACATAGAATAGGATAAAAGACTGTGCTACAGGTAGAAAGGCTGGCGGGCGTTATAGACATGCCCACGTAAAAAGGCACTAGAACTAATGGATTTTGGGACATGCATCCTTCTTTCACAGCAAAACCATCACCACTGTTACAGGACAGTGAAGTCTACAGTAATGAAAGGAGCCCTTTAACGATCAGGCAGCACCATGTATCTGTTCCTTAACACAGTCAAGCCTCAGCTGCAACCGTATGATAACCGCAGTTAGTCATGTATCTACAAGCTAAAATTTTTGACAAATAGTTAAATTTAGTGTTCAGGCTGTGTGGTGGTATCTCGTGATGTTCCATGATGTCAAGTTCCAAAAAAGGTAAATCTTTTGACATGTGAAACTCAAATATTAAGGCACGTGCTAATTCAGCCATAACACTATTGCCCCAAAACTGTTAATAGCTGCGGGATGTTCTCTCTGCTGTCTGTAATTGTGTTGAGTGGTGGAAGGGAGCAAATCAACAGAGTTGTGATGAAGGATTTAATGATTTTTTCCCATAAAAAGTAGAAGAGGAGACTTCTAGTACCTTACCTTATCTGTGACCTGGAACATATGATGAAAAGCAAACCATGATTCCATCCCATTTTCTTAAATACACTGTTTAGTAGGTTGCATGTGTGAGTAGCAAAGCGGGACGGCTGTGTACTCCCAGGGTTTTAAGCAGTGAGGTGAAGCGTGACAGTGGTATGGAAGTTTTTGGTAAGGTAGAATTTCACATTAAATCTTGTACGTAAGGGCAATAGAATTATGAAATTAAAGAGGTGTGGCTTTATCTTTGCGGACTTTTTAAAGTATGGTGGGTATTAATGATTGACATTCACTACTGTGCACCTACATGTCCTAATTTAACATAGAAAAGGTCATTGAACTCGTGATCTTCAAGGGATTATTGTGCCCTTTTCCCACAGAATTCTGCACTGTCTTCAGAAGTGTGAGTGGTTGTGGTGTTGGTGCACTGGGTCTTCTGGGACAGAGAGGTGATGGAAGGAAGTACTTGAATCCTGTATTTCTTCTAAGTTTTGCTGGAGTCTGTTTGTGGAAGGTCAGAAGATCTTTTGAAATACACCACTAGTGTAGTACACTACACCAGTAAATGGAAACCTTAGTTTAGAGTAGTTTTTTTTGTAATACTTACATCTTCTTAGAATGTAATAGATGTTAACAAAAGCAAAAACAGTTTAAAAAAAAAAAAAGATGGATTTTCTTGCTAAGGACAGCAATGTCCTCATTTTTCTGTAGGTGTAACAAAGTGAAGAATTAAAAGTAAATAATTTTTATTCAGTATTTTAATTAGTTTTCCATATGATTGTCAGAAACCTGTCGTTCTCATACTTGTTGAATCAGGTTTTGAGGCAAGTCAAGTTAAACAAGATGTTAATTTTAAAAAAAGAAAAGGAAAACAGGTTTAAAACAACAAGCAATACAGATTTTCTTGGTATGCTATAAGAAGATAAATTCTTGCCCATGTCTCATTTTAATCTCTTCACTATGGCTTTCTGACTTTTTTATTTTCTTTGTACAAGTATGGGCTTTTACAACTCCCTAACTGAAGACAGCATTTTGATTTGAATCCTGAAATGACTTCACATTGTTACCATAATTGCTCAGTTCAGTTTATTACTTCGTCAATCCTAACTTGATAAAATTAGGAGTGATAGCATCACTTTACATTTTTCTTTCCCGTTAGTTGGTTTTGTTGAGCATGTTGAGGTTGACTCTTGCAGTTTAAAAAAATAAGTGTATTGTGCTTTTGATGAAGACAAGCACAGAAGACAAGGAGTGATAAGATTTGTAATTCCCTGTGTTCTTACTGGCTCAGTGAATTTTAGTGATTTATAAAGAGTTTTCTCTGTTGTGTATTGTGGATGTTTTTCGTTCTTGTTGGAAGGGCTTTTTTTTTATGTATTACAGCTTGAACTGTGCTTTCTTCTTTCACTCTTGTTACTTGGTTTCTGTCTCTTTGACAGTCCATAACCTTGTTTAGAATGCTTTTCTTTTTTTCAACCTTGTTCCTTTCAGGGGTACGGAAGATAGGGTTACAAATCTCAGTGATGATGTCTTCGGAGCAGTCTGCAGACTTTTTGCTGGTTTTGTGGGCCCCATCTTCATTTGCAATTCATGTTACTAAGCTGTGTGTTTGTTGTCTTATTTTTTTACAGCAAGTATTTGGTGTTGTGCCATCCTGTTTCCTCTCCAGTTTTCTAGTTCTTTCTTTATCCTTTGAGAATGTCTTGGACGGTCATGGTATTAGTGGCATAATTTCTCTCTTGGTCTTCAGACAGCATATATATTTTAGTTAAGTACATTTAGAAGTACATTATCTAGTTTGCATGAAAGTTGTACTTTGATTTGCATGCATGCAAATGTGAGATACAGTATTTGCATTTCAGTTTCTTCATTATTTATCTGTGCCTTCTTAGGGATAGACAGTGTAGAAAATTTTTATTCTGTCTCTAAATAAATTTACAAAACCTGCACAAGTTGCACATTTTTGCCAGCTGCTTGCAGATTTTTCTGTGAGTGTGAGAAGGAGCACCAGTAAAGGTATTTTGTTTGGGGCAGGTTTGCCCAGATGGGGCATTAAAAACTGCAGCATTGCAATATCTGACAATAAGAGAGGGACTGGTAGGATGTATAAAATGGTATTGGGTTTTAATTTTAGAAGACTTATTTTTTTAAATCCTGCATCACAAGTAGTATAATTTTCTTGAGTCAAAAAAAGAGACAATAAGTAATAAGGCAATAACTAATGGGTAAAAGCAACACAGCAAAATATGTTTTATAATTCTCGTTGTCATTAAAGAGAATATCAGCTTCACACAACTTCAGCTGGAGTGACAGCTTTGTGGGGGTTCTTTAAAAGAAGATGAAAAAGGAAACTACTGTGACTTTTATTTTATTATTCTTAGTCACCTTACAAGGAGAGGCATCTTATTTAGCATATTATTCTTTAATCATCTGTAACTTTTCTCGTGTTGCAGTAATTCTTCAACGAACTAGTAGATGAGAAATGATACGATAGCTTGAAAATGTGATGTATATCTCTGCTCAACCACCACTTCTTTCTTCAGATGCAAGTCTACTTTCCAAATAGAAATCCCGGGTCTGTCTGGAGAAAAAGGCTTTGTTTATGGTCTGTTGTTATTTAATTTTTATTTACTTCTACTTCTTTACTTTTACTTTGTTCTTCTGTTTAATCTTTTGTGTGAGAAGTCCAGAAGTGGGTTCTTTTATCATATATTGAACATGCATGCTTGGAAAAGTTTAAAGTGTCCTTACACATTTTCCAGCTTTTAAAACATAGGGGATTTCAGATGACCTTATGGTGCTTGGTATCAAGATGTAGTGTAAACTAATGATACTATGAAGAATAAGGCTTGTGATTTCTTTGTATTACCTAGTTGCTAAATTGATAAGTCTGAGGGTGTATTTGTTCAATTATTTAGATAAAGGAGCCATACATCAAATTGATAAATAGTATCAGACATGGAGGATTAGCCTCCCTAAAGACTGAGAGAGAAGTCTATCGTCCTCTGCCTTTGGAGAGCGAAGGCTGCATGGGCAGCAGCAAGGGCATCTCTGTTTGAGAGGCAGTCCCTAAAGCTGGCACACGAGAAGCTGCATTGTGGGGGCTGAGTGTTAAATAAATGAGGCTGTCTACTGCCCGTTCTTTATTAATGTTAAAGTGAAGTCTGCATTAGTGAAGTGTGACAGCCTGAGAGCTCTAGAGACTGACACTCTGTCTTAATTGACAGAACTAACTCCAGG